GGCTCCCCTCCAGAGCAGCTGCCGAGCTGTGCCCGGCGAGGCCCCCCGCTCCGTCCTCCCTCGGTCCCTGGCAGCAGCTGCCGGCAGCTGTGCCTGGCCAGGGGAAGGGAGCCTGGCAGCCCCCGTGACAACCCTGATGGCGTCAGGGTGCTTCTGGGGACCGTGCTTTGCTCAGCCCCAGCCTGGGAATGCTGAGCATCCGGCTGAAATTGAGGGCCTGTTGCAGGGCTCCTGGTTTCCTGGAGCTGTGGGCTGGTACTGCTTTTCCTTGCTTTCCGTTTACCATGCTTGGCACAGGGTGGGCATGGGCGAACAGCTTAGGCAGAGCTCTTGGGGAGCGTGAGGCTGAAGGGAACTGAGGATGTTGGGCTGATTTTTTCCCTCCCACCCCACAGGATAGCCAGGCTAAAAATAATCCTTTGCCTCACGCTGAGCCTGAAAATAAAGGAGATGAAAAAGGGAACGGTCCTGGGTCGTAGCAGTTAAGGACCTGCTTGGGTTAAGAGCATAGGTATGGCCTTGTGTGCCTTGGGAGGGAGGAGAACATAGCCAGTGCTACTGGCTGGGAAATCCCATGGAAAATAAGGCACGTAGCCTCCACAGCGGCAGACTAATCAGTGGGATGAGCTATTGGAAGAGGCAGTAGCATCTCAAGCGCCAGAAGGCTGTCCAGCCTGCCCCACTGTACCCCATGAGCAGCTGGGTTTCAGCCAGCATGTGCCACTGGCACATCCCGGCCAAGAGCCTCGGGAGCACTTTGGCTAGGAGCCTGTGGTTTGGAACAAACCAGGCCCATGGGCTGGGAGAAGAGTCTGTGACACCCCCCCAGCTCTTTCAGCTATCCACCGTTGTTTGGGGCGGGGACAGAAGAGGGGGCCCAAGGGTGGGGATGGGGAATCCCAGCAACTCCCTGACGGCCCTGCCTGTTCCTCTGCGCAGGATGGTTCCCCCACCCCCTGTCAGCAAGCCCCACGTGTGCCTCTCCACTGTGCTCATCATGACCAGCCTTGTCCTCATGGATGCCTACCTGGTGGAGCAGAGCCAGGGCTCCAGGAAACTGGGCATCTGTGTCATGGTGGCAGTGGGTGACGTGTGCTTCCTGCTGGTGCTCCGCTACGTGGCCATCTGGGTCGGGGCAGAGGTAAAGACAGCTAAGCGGGGCTACGCCATGATCCTCTGGTTCCTCTATGTTTTCGTTCTGGAGATCAAAGTCTACTTTGTATACCAGAACTATAAAGCTGACCGGAAGAGCCTGGATCTCATAGCCCGCAAAGCGCTGACCTTGCTGCTCTCCATCTGCATCCCAGCCCTCTACGTGTTGCTGGTGGCCACCGAGCGCATGGAGTACGTCAGGACATTCAAGAAGAAAGAAGATCTCCGCAACCGCCTCTTCTGGGTCATTGTGGACATGCTCGACGTTCTGGACATCCAGGCCAACCTGTGGGAGCCCCAGAAGAAAGGGCTGCCGCTCTGGGCCGAGGGCATCATGTTCTTCTACTGCTACATCCCTTGCGTGCCCCGCGGCGAGATCAGCATGCAGGGGATCGGCATCGTGCCGCACCGGATGATGCTGTACCCCATGCTGAGCATGCTCACTGTCAACATCACCACCATCTTCATCCGAGGCAGCAACATGGTCTTCTTCAGGGACGCCCGGGTCTCCAGCATCTTCATGGGCAAGAACATGCTGGCCATCGGGCTGAAGGTCTGTACGTTTGTGCAGTACCAGCGGCACC